CGCCTAGATTTTCACGGATCTAGTTCACCTTTCTATCTATGCATCTGACATAGCTCCTACTTAAGCCCAAACCCTAAATGCAACCTGAACTGCGTGGCTTTGCTCCGGATCCGTGACATCTCCCCCCTAGTCATGCAGAGGGTTGAAAAGCATCCCTACTGTTTTTGACTACTCACCAGTATGGTACTAGAATAAAACACAGTAGAGGTAGAATCTAAATGAGGAACGGGAGGAGATGACCAGGCAACGAAGTCATGGATTCTGGGTTAGGATCACACAGCATGCAGCCTGGCTCGAGCCTTGATTCTCTACTGAGCACCCCTAAGCCCTCAAACCTAAAAACCTAAAACCTCTGAAAACCCTGAAGCCCCAAAAACGCTGAAACTCCCAAGAAACCCATAAGCCTGAAGCCCTAAAGCCCTGAAACCCTGAAGCCCCAAAACCCTAAACCTACGGGGTCAGGAGGGGTCCAGGGCTCAGACGCCACCGGAGGCAGCCAATGAGGCGCCAGAGCCCATGGCCGTGTTGAATAGAAGGGTTTAGGGTTTAGGGTGTTTAGGGTTTAGGGTTTAGGGTTAAGAGTTGGGGCTTTTTAGCGGCGTTGTCCGTGCTTCTGCTCTGCCATTTTGGTCTTCATCCAAATCAGGATGTTCCCGCAGGACATACTACTCAGGCCACGCGGTTAAGGTCTGGGCTTGAGACTGACGATGCGTTACAGTCTTGGGGCATATCTTTGAGACTTTGCCATTTACCTGGGGGATATCGCGTCCCTGAACCCTGCCCTAAATTGTCATCAAAATAGTAGCCTCCGCTTTTTGTTCAGGGGTTTGGGGTTCGGCGGTTTGGGAATTTGGACTTCAGGATATTGGGGGGGTGCGTGAGAAACAGCTGCAGCGCACCCCATCAATCATCTGCTCTAAGCTGTCTGCCTAGGGCTTCCTACCTGTGGTAAGGTTTGTGATTTGGGACATACTCCCTTACAGCAATTGTCCACAAGTCGCGTATTACACATCCTATTACCAATTCTGGTAACTGTTACTGTATGGGGCAACGACTCAAGTTGTGATATACTAAACCCATTCATGGAAACTCCCATGTAGGCATCAGGTTTGCTGGAAGGACATGGGTTCAAGCACGGGGTCAGACTAACGGGCTTACCCGAAGGTATCCCTATAGCCTGAACACTAAGCCCTAAGATAAGGAGTGTATGAGAAGGCCGGACTTGATGAGCATGACCGAAAACAGGTTTTAGGATCTATTGGGTCCACGGACCAGCCCCCCGCCCGCCCAAAAAAAAAAAAACAGAAGTAATGATCCATGCTCCATGGCTGCTGTAATAACCCCTAAACCGTAAACCCTGCCATCTCTTGCTGGCTATTGTATCTTGGTCAGGCATCTTGCGTGTGGGTCAGCTGAGACCGAGGCTCATGGCATTGTCAGCAAACTGCCTGACTAAAAAAGGTTCTGAACATCCCGTTAAAGGGTTTTCTAAAGGGATTATGTTAGGGTTTAGGTTTTAGAGTACCATCATAGGGTTTCTAAGAGGGTTATAGGAGGACATATAGGGTTCTATAGGGTTCAGGGTTCTTCTAAAGGTGCTTGTCAAAGAACTGAATTGCTGTTGCGGAGCCCAAACTAAGTTACTGTAATAAGGAAACCCTTTTATTTGCAGCTGCATTTATCTAAGTTTAACCATGTCACATTAGTCGTGCTAGGGGGAAAATTGAACTTTTGCTAACCTACCTAGAGTATAGATATATATATATATATGTACAGCAAGGGCGCACTGCAGCAGAAAACAGAGCAAAAGCCCACATAAAGATGCTCAAAATCTCGAAAATACACACCGTCACGGCGTCCTTCTCTCTTTATTTGCTACTTGCCCATATTCTGGTAACTTAGTTTACGTTCCTTAACACCAACCCAGAAAAAGGAACCTACCTTATGCTTTTTTGGGGGACAGGTATTCGAACAACTACCCCTGAAGCTTAAATCCTAAACCCTAAACCCTATAAACCCTAAACCAACCAACTGTTCACACGGTAGTCGTAATCTTACGACCTAATCTTGCAGACCTGAAGCCAATAAGCTCAACAGGCGCTGTAGAGACTTTAGGGATTACAGTTTCAGAACACGTTTTGGCTTTAGGGATTAAGGTTTAGGGTTTAGGATTTAAGGTTTAGGGATTAGGGCTTAGGGATTACGGCTTAGGGTTTACAGTTCAGGGCTTAGGGTGGAGCACTAGAGAGCCTCTGAACCCAAGCATCTGAATGTTCTGGAAAGGGTTCTTCTTGCAAGGAAGTTATCTGCATGTTGTTAAATGTCTCCCCAAAATGTCACCTAGATTAAAGAAAAAATCCTTGTACATTCCCGTTTTACCATGTCCCTAAACCCTAAGCCCCAAGCCCTAAAAAAATGCATGACGGGTCTGTAACCTGACCTTTCACCAACCTTGAACAAAGAAACAAAGCGTGGAATGCCTGCCTTAGCCGTCTAAACCCCTCAACTCTCACCACGTTCCTGGAGTTTCAAGAGGAGGGCGGGGAGTGCCTACAAGGATCCCTAGAGAATCCCCTATGCTAGTCTACTACCTATATGGTAGTTTCCATAAATAGGCGGACCCCATTATAGACCCCAATATACTATCGTCCTTATTATAGTGACCCCCAAAAAGGATACCCCTAATTTTGGGAAACTCCTGTATTCCCCCTACTCTAAACCCTAAACCTAAACCCTGAACTGTGTACTACTCACCCTTAAAACACCCCCAACCCCAAGAATCCCGTTTTTCCTTCGGCGCTCTTCGGGTCTCTTTGGACCAGACTAGCAGGGTGTGGACCTAGGAAGTCGCGTAGCTGCTGCACAGCGTCACCCCGTAGGATGGGCTCCTGCTGGACACAGATGTGAGCTATAATCTACACTCCTTAAAGAAGGTTATATGGGGAATCTAAATAGGGGACTAGTACAGGGGTTATTAAGGGGATGCTAGGAGTTTAGACTATGGCTCATGTGGGTTTGGGAGTGCGGGTTTAGAGTACAGGCTACAAAATAATAGCTTCGGATTTAGGATTCGAGGTTGAGGGTGTAGGAGTCATGAGCAACGCACCCGAAGCAGTGACGTGAAAAATGGCCTCCCAAAGGGCGCCCCATCGGCGGGGATGATTCAACGTCAACCCTAAGCCCTAAACCCTAAACCCTAAACCGTCAGAGCGGTGCCAGCATTCACAGTTTGGCTGATTTCAATGATCTTGCCGTCGCCAACAGCGCGAATGCGCATGAACTTGTGCAGCAGGATAGTGGGCGCACGAAACAAGAATGAGCGGATAACCACGTTATGGACAAAAAACCTTTCAGGGTTCAGCAGCTTGAGTTACGGGAGGGTGCAAGCGCTTCTAAAATGATGTAAAGGGGCTTAGTGTCCACGGTCGAATGAAGGCATCAAACTCCTTCCCTTGCAAGGAGGCCTCCTTAGACCGCTAGGATACATGAAACAAAATCCCCTGATGGCGCAGGCAGGGCCAAGAGTTGTTAACCTAGAGGACCTGGAACCAACACCTGACTTCATCGCTGTTGTCGTCCTGCGTCTGATTGTTTCAAAGTTTGATTTTCGCGTGGTCAGTTTGGATGCACTTTGCCAAACCACTCACGAATTCAGCGCTTGACGGGGTTCACAGGAGGCTGGTGATGCACCCGTGCAACTGGAGTATAAAGGTGCGTTAAGAGAAATTATTCCCCGCAAACTGGAGTACTGCGGTAGGACAAAAGTTCGCC